CCCCCTTCGCCGAAGGGTCCTCGGATGCAGCTCCGTTTTTCTCTCACTCCAGGGGGCGTCTCTCACTCCAGGGGGCGGACTGGTAGACTTCTGAGCTGCGTCTCCATCATGCGAAGACTGTGGTGTGGTCAACTGGATCAACAAAACATGACTATTCTTGCGCTCCACAATTATTTTTCACCTGCCCTTCCATCCATATTGTGAAACTCTTCGGAGGCTTTGCATCCAGTGCAAAGCCAATCTTTTTCTAAGACGATATTCTGGGACATGGGACTTTTCAGCTTGCAACAGCCACAACATCAATCACAACAAAAACAAAAACAGACAAACAAACAGACACAAACACAAACAAACAAAACAAGCACATAGACAATGAAACAAACAAACACAAGAAAACAAACAAAAACAGATAAGCAAACAAAACAAAATATGGCACAGATGGACGAAGCCATCCAATGCCTGCCAAATGTGCCTTTCAGTCAGAGCTTTTGAGCTTGATGATACGGTCATGCGGATTTCCATCTGAAGATTTTGCCTCCGAGTCTCGATACCGAGTCTCGGTAGGAACTGGAAAGCTTTCTGTTTTCTTTGTAAACTTTTGCCTAGCTGTAGTTCCTTTTAGTTTTGTGCTGTAGCTTGTAGACGTTGCAGATACAGTGGAGAATCCTTCACAGGCATTGTTTCATTCGAGTGGAGCGCGAGCTTTCGCAGCGGATGTCACATTTGGAAAATCTTTACAGCAGACTTGTCCATTGTGTGGTCAATGGATTGCTTCCAGGTACATGATCAAGAACCATTACGGTGGTTATTGGTGCAGGTTTTGTGGTTGGTAATTTTTTTGTGCAGTGTTTTCATGTAACTTTTCCGAAAAAACAAGTTGCCGAAATAAGATCTTGATCAATCAATGTCTTGGCGTTCCAACACTTTTCGAAGCTGGAATCATTCAAATTAGACTCTAAACAACCATGATCGTTTTTGGAAGTGGTTCGAAATTTTTAAGATCGCAAGACCACCGATCTTTTCTGCAAGAGTCGAAGAGATGAAAGAGTCTTGTGTTCTTGAGGCTTCTTTGGTCAGGTGAGGACAAGTCAAAGACAGTACAGCCACAAAGAAAACAAGCATGATTGCATTGCTTGTTGTGCTTCCTTGTGGGAACACTTGTGTCTTTTGTGTTCTTTTTGTTTGTCGGAAAGGCGTTTCAATTCTTTATCATTTTATGTTCTGCGCTTTTCATCCTCTTAAGCGAACTCGTGTGGCTTCTCCTCTTTGGGTGTCGGAAAAAACGTTTTTATTCATTTGTTCGCTTCAGAACAGAGATTCAATGATATTTCATTTTGTTTGCTTTGCTGTTTACATCCCCCTGAGAGTACGACATCCTGCGAAGCGCCCTTTGAAGAAGGCTTCGAACCCCTTCGAAGGAAGCCATTGAAGGCTCTGAAGCCCCATCAGCAATCAATGGCAGACATACGCCCACCAGCGATCTTCACACAGGTTGCCCAGTCAAAAAATCTGTAACGTTGGTCTTCGTTCGGAGGTACGATGCAAACTGAGTAACTGAGCATGGCTTTGCTTGCTGCTGCACTACTACGAATCGCTTGAGTTTTGGAGCTGGTTCCGCAGATGGTGGATGTCGAAGACGCGGCAAAAGGGACACAGGGGACATTGAAGGGAGAACCAAAGGTAGGGACGAAGGAGCCCATGACATTGATGGGTTGTAACTGTACTGGATATGGACAGCTGGCGAGGTGGAAGCGAAGTAAATGCACAAACTCAAGATTCAAGCCGAGCTGGACTGCAACAGTGAGTGCTCGAAATCCAAGTGTTGCATTCAACAAGACTGTCACTTCGACCTTGTTTTGAACCGATTGTGTTCGGGGCCTCTGGGCCGGTAGGCAAGTGTCCTCTTCCGATCTGAAAGTTTCCCACCATTCCCCCTCTTGCAGCTGCCTTGAATTGTCATTTTTGTTGGAGACTGTCAGCAACAGACGTTTTGCGCTCCTGACAGCATCGCAACACGCTCACTTCAAGTTGGACATGTTTTCGCTTGCTTCGAGGCTCGGAAATCAGAAGCTTTTGGGTGCAACATGCAACCGAACCAGAATCACTTGCTTGCTAGTTGTCGATATGTTGCTCTGGACGAATGCTTGCTCCTTTACACTATTATATTGTCACAGCAAAACTGTGCAGTCGATAGCCTGGGTGGCCGACTTGAGCCAAGTGCCATCGGCTCCGAGATTCAAAGGCCAGGCAACCGTGTGCGGGTTTTTTCAGCAGATGGAACCGGCCCTTTTCTCGACTCAGGTTTGTTGCTGCACATGAGAATTTTCATAAACAATGCAGCTTGCCATAATATGTCACGCGAGAGCTTGTCAGTGCATGTGGCTGAAACAGTCGTGCATCTTAGGTTGACAGCTATGTCGGTCAGAGGCCCAGCAGGACGACGGGGGATTGCCTCACAAGGTCGCGGATTCACGGCGTTTGTAAGGCCGTGCTCTTTGTGCCGACTTGCGGAAAGTTCTGGATCAGGAGCCATGATGAATACGAACAGACTGCTCATGCTTGATTGCTGGACGAATCCAAACTGCAAGGAAAATCGGATCCTGGGCAGCCTGACCCAAGGTTCTGCGGAGGAAGTTCGCTCTCAACAGGTGGGTCAGGCCCGAGGTGCAAAAATAGAGTGACTTTACATCCGAGCAGGCGGATGGCGATCTTCTTGATTCATTAGGAGTCCGGACCACAGACTACCACCTTTCGGTGATGTGCCAAGCGACTCTCACTCAGGTCAAAAGAGTCGTCGATCGCACAGACAAGCAGAAGTACCTCTCGGACATTCTTTCGTGCCTCGTCCAGGAAAGCTGTGCTATGCAGTCCGAAAAGCTTCTTGAACCAGACATACTCTACTTCTCAGTAGCCTTCAGAGCCGGGTCAAGTTCTGATAGGAAGCTTCATAGAACGGTTCGGCCGCTGTCCGGAGATGCTTGCACAAGTTGCCATCGGCATCACCAGCCACCGTGAGCAGCGCGTTTATGCCGGCTGTCTCATCTTAAATTTTGTAGGATGTAAGACTTGAAGGTGCTCCTTGATTGTATATGATCTGCACAGTGCCGATCTGAACGATGTATGCGCCTGAGTAGTGCTGGGCACATGTCAGTGCGAGCTGGGCAAAGTTCCATGGTGCAGGTGGAGACTCTAATAAAGGAGCTGAAGGCACTCTTGATGTGTTCTTCTGTATGCCCGTCATTGCAGTTGCTTATCAGGTTGCCGAGCTGGGCCATGAGACAACTTTTGTGCTGATCTCATCTGTCATGGTTCGGTGCCCAGGCGAGCGAAGAGAGTCTTGCTGACACCAAACGTCTTCCAATCAACGCCTGCTGAGGCATGGGCAAACACTCGAAAACAGTATGTTCCTCTGAAGAGCACCTGCCTGGGAATTGATGGATCGAGAAGGCTCTGCTTGCAGATGCTGCAGCAATGTTTGTTCGTGCAGGTCCCGAGGAGGAAGATGAAGGTGTGGATGACGAAGTGGAGGCAGTGTAGGCAATCGTCCACTTGAAACTGGTAGGTTCATGTGCAATTCGAAGGAAGTGGAAGTCAAGAAGCGTCCAAAAGAGCTGCTCAGCATGCCCATTCTTGTATGAGTTTGACTCGCTTCCACAACGTGACGAACAAGGCTGACAGATGCAGACCTGGAGCGGCGGGTGCCTACGGCTGCGTACGAGGCGAGAGTCTCATTCCAAGCATCTCTCGGATCTTGTGAGCTCTCCGAGCCATTGTGCAGGCTTGGAAGTACTTGGAGACCTTGGTGCTTTCGCTGAGCGAAGCCAGCATGGCTTGCCAGAGCTTCGCTTCTCGCAGTTCTAAGAAAGTAGCATGCCATGCCCTCTGTTCAACAGCCAGGTTCCAAAGCCAAGCTTCGACCACACGTCATTGGCGCTGGAATCCTGTATGGAAACGGCCTGTGCCTTCGTTCCAGGTTCCTGTTAGACTGAACCTTGGCCAGACCGACATTGGTGAGGTGAAACCGTTTTCAACGAACTGTTCAAAGCTGCCGGATTCTGAGACATGTTTGAGGTCGTAAATGAGCGGGGCTGTCTTCGTAAGAACCCAGCTTGAAAACGTCAGATCCGATGAAGCAGTGCTAATTATGACTGACCGTACAAGGCTCTCGAAGCATAGATGTTCGACTGCTGCCTTCGTGGCTCCGAAGCAAGGCCTGGCTGACGCAGCCCGTGCACAAGATCATTGCTCCAGGTGCGGTGAAAGGACCCCTGAAGTTTTTGGTACTCGTTTGTTCCACAGGAGACAACTACATTCCTTGCGTACACGTCCGGGACGTGCTCGACTCATGTGGCACTTGCGCGCCAGTGTTCACCGACGTTGTATGAACAAATGCAAGGTTGCTCGGCTGGTTCGCGTGGTCGTCTCGGACGCATCTCTGGGCTCGTACCTGCTCGTTGGGCCCTGAGAATGGGCTCATCTTGAAGCGCACATTTGCTGCGAATTTTCTTCGGCTTGGCTACGACGACCGACGACAGACGACTTAATGCCATTGCCGCTGCCGGTATATGTCCTTGCAATACTGCTACCATCACTTACTACCTGCCTGCTAACTACCAACAACTAACTACTAGCTAGCTACCAACAGACTGACTCCTAACAACCAAGCACCACTTACTAGGTACCAGCAACTACCGACGAACTGCAAAAACTGACTACTACTTACTACTTACTGGCTGCTAATTACTAACGACCCTCAATGGTATTAGTGGGAGCTGAAGTCCAATTGTCACTCTTCGTGTTTAACATTTGCTACCGATCACATCCTTTCCTTCAAAGTTTAGTCTCCCTTTGAGGTGGGGCTGTGTCCAGCATCTCTTGTTCGGTTTTGGGCTCGTTGGGGTCCAGTCACCCCTTCTAAGCTGTGTTTCCAAACCACTTGCGCACCTTTTGTAAGATTTTGGCTTGGTCACTCATCTCATCATCTTCTGCAGGGTTTGGGGAGCCAGTCCTTCGAAAGTCTTCGAACTACTCAATTCATTTGGGGCTTCGTTTTGCTTCCCCATCATTTACTGTTTAGGGTCTGGGACTTTGGGAACCGCTCATTGCTTGGGTTGACATCGAAGGTGTGCCTCCCACCTCTTCGTAGCGAGGCCTTGTAAATGGTGTGGTTAGGGGACTTAGCCATCCAGTTTGCAAAGCCGCCCATCATGTACTGTGGAAGCTGTGGGCATTGGGTCCAACATTTCGCTGTCTAGTCAGAACCAAACACCACTTTTCAGAGTCCGCTCACTCAGCCAAAGCTCTGGGTTTACAACCCAGCATGCCGTATTCGGGATCACACGGCTTAAGTTTCGGGTTTGGCGAACAACAAGCTTCTTCCATCGATCTTGATCCTTTCAGGTTGTTATCACTTTTTCGTGGTCGCAAAGGTGAACATCTGCTATCAATCGCGTTCTTCCTTTCCGGTTGTTTCTCGCTTGGAGGTTGTTGGCTTGGGTCCAAAATCTCCTGTTCGGTTTTGGGTTTCTTGGGGTCCAGTCGCGTTCTAAGATGTAGTGTTTTCCGAACCATTCGCACGCTTTTCTGAGATTTCGGCTTGGTCACTCATCTCATCATCTTCTGCAGGGTTTTTGGGAGCCAGTCATTCGAAAGTCTTCGAATTACTCAATTCATTTGGGGCTTCGTTTTGCTTCCCCATCATTTACTGTTTAGGGTTTGGGACTTTGGGAACCGCTCATTGCTTGGGTTGGCATCGAAGGTGTGCCTCCCACCTTTGTGTAGTGAGGCCTGGTAAATGTGGAAGCTGTGGGCTTTGGTTTCAGCATGTCGCTGTTTAGTTAGAACCGAACACATTTCAGGGTCTGCTCACTCAGCTAAAGCTCTGGGTTTGCCGCCGTATTCGGGATCACACGGCTTTACGTTTCGAGTTTGCGGAACAACAAGCTTCTTTTGTTAAACTAGGTTGGCCACCGATTTTGATCTTTTCAGGTTGTTACCACCTTTTCGGGGTTGCCATGTGCTGCCCTTGGGCTTGGGTTCAGCATCTCCTGTTCGGTTGTCGGTTCCTTGGGGTCCAGCTGCTTTCTGGGATGTAGTGTTTTCCGAACCATTCGCACGCTTTTCTGAGATTTCGGCTTGGTCACTCATCTCATGATCTTCTGCAGGGTTTTTGGGAGCCAGTCATTCGAAAGTCTTCGAATTACTCAATTCATTTGGGGCTTCGTTTTGCTTCCCCATCATTTACTGTTTAGGGTTTGGGACTTTGGGAACCGGACATTGCTTGGGTTGACATCGAAGGCGTGCCTCCCACCTTTGTGTAGTGAGGCCTTGTAAACGTTGTGGTTTGGGGACCTAGTCATCCAGTTTGCAAATCCGCCCATCATGTAATGTGGAAGCCGTGGACTTTGAGTCCAGCATCTTGCGGTTTAGTAAGAATTAGACACCACTTCTCACAGTTCGCTCACTCGGCTAAAGCTCTGGGGTCACTGCTTTAACTTTCGGGTTTGCGGAACAGCAAGCTTCGGTTGGCCACCGATCTTGATTTCTTAAGGTTGTTACCAACTTTTTTGGTGTTAACATGTGCTCTTCCTTTCTGTCCTTCCGTCGCTTGGAGGTTATTGGGTTGTGTCCAGCATCTCCTGCTCGGTTTTGGGCTTTTTGCGGTCCAGTCGCTATCGAAGATGTAGTGTTTTCCGAACCATTCCCACGCCTTTCTGAGATTTCGGCTTGGTCACTCATCATCTTCTGCAGGGTTTTTTGGGAGCCAATCCTTCGAACTACTCAATTCATTTGGGGGCTTCGTTTTGCTTCCCCATCATGTACAGTTTAGGGTTTGGGACTTTGGGAACCGGACATTGCTTGGTTTGACATTGAAGGCGTGCCTCCCAACGCTGCGTAGTGAGTGAGGCCTTGTAAACGTTGTGGTTTCGGGACTTAGTCATCCAGTTTGTTAGTGCAGTTGCACTCCTGCGGGACATGCTCGGCATGTGAAAGCATTGCTTCGCAAGATTGATTCCGCAGCCCTCATGTGAGGGAAAGAGTTCATGGTAGCAGAGCCTTAGTGGCTTCCTGCAGGTAGAAGGCCCATAGTGCCCGAGCCTGAAGGCAGCAAGTTTCCCTGCAAACGGGAGCCCATTGAAGCAGGTTAGGCTGGGCTTGGAATCAGCGCATGTGATTTCAAGGGAAAATTGGTGCGCCCTGGCAAGTTTCGTCTTGCTGGGAGGAGGCGAGGCCTTCTACTCGAGGGTGTTTTGGTTTCGATCCAGGGACAATGGCGGCGCAAGGAAGGCGGCAAGCATGATGGATACAAAGGTGGTGGAAAATGGCATAGCTTTGGCTATGGCGCTGGCAGCGACAAGGGCAAGAATGGCAAAGACAGCAAGGGCAAGGGCGGCAAAGGCAAGAAGGGAGATAGAAAAGGCAAGGCCCAGCCAGGACTTTGCCATGACCGCTGGCAGCCGGGCCATGGGAAAACGAGTGCCCATGGAAAGGTGGTGGCAAGAACACAGTGCGGCAGGTCGAGGAAGCAACACCGGCGGCGGCAGTCAGCTCTTCCCAATCCACGGTGTCAACGAGCGCAAGTGCATACCGGACGCTGAGCACCATCAACATGACGGCCATCGGCCGCACAACCTCGATTGGCACGCTGCCTGGATGCCACCCGAGCTGGAGGAGATCACTGGAGCCTAGGGATGGCACATCCTGTCCTCCGGCCTCCCGGTCCACATTCGTGCCAAGGTACGAGGTGCCCCCGGGTATGTCAGTGCTAAACTTCCGATAGGTGAAACATCGAAGGTGTTTCGGCTAGTACAACATCGAAGGTGTTTGCTAGGAACCCATCGCAGATGTTTCTGCTAGTCGCGATGGACTCGAGCCACTGGGGGATCACATGGCAGGTACATGCGCGCCATCTTGGCTCAGGATCCCCACTGCTAGTGGGGGGTAAATAAGAAGTAGGGGAGGCCAGCGTGAAAGAAAAGGTCCTAAAGGTGCGGCCCATCAGTGGAGCCCGAAATCCGGGCGGATGAATATACGGACCGCGTGAACCACTTGAAAATGCTGCGCGCAAAGAGCGCCGAGAGAAGGAACAAATGGAAATTGTTCTCTGAGGGTGCTCAGGGCCCAGCGGCCATAGATGCCAACACGGCTCTTGATTCTGGTAAGTCGTGGTACAATCCTTCATTTCCCTTTTTGCCACTGTTTAAGGTCGAGCGGTAATATTAAGTCATATACCCCAGGCAGTACTGTTTCCGAGCGCAACTGGGTGAGAACGATGACATTTTTCGCAAACTGTCAAGGAGGCGGGGTGTTTGTACAGTTGCGCTCCTAAGGGACATTTTCTGCATATGAAAGCATTGCGTGAGGAAAAGAGTTCACAAGTTGCAAAACCGCCCATCATTTACTGTGGAAGCTGTGGGATTTGGGTCCAGCATTGCTTCGTTGTTTTGTAACAACCGAACACCACTTTTCAGGTTCCGCTCGCTCGCTCAGCTAAAGCTCTGGGTTTGCAACCCATCATGCCGCATTCGGGGTCACACTTCTTTAAGTTTCGGGTTTGCGGAACAACAAGTTTTTTGTAAAATTAGGTTGGCCACCGATCTTGGTCCTTTCAGGTTGTTACCACCTTTTCGGGGTTAACATGTGCTTCCCATCGCATCCTTCCTTGCCTGTTTTTTGTCTCCTTAGAGGGTTTTGGGCTTTGGTTCAGCATCTCTTATTCGGTTTTGGGCTTCTTGGGTTCCAAACGCTTTCGAAGATGTAGTGTTTTCCGAACCACTCGCATGCCTTTTTGAGATTTCGGTTTAGCCACTCATCACCTTTGGCATGGTTTTTGGGAGCCAATCCTTCGAACTACTCAATTAGTTTGGGGCGTCGTTTTGCTTACCCATCATGTACTGTTTATGGTTTGGGGGCTTTGGGAACCGGTCATTGCTTGGGCTGACATTGAAGGTGTACCGCCCACCTCTTCGTAGTGAGGCCTTGTGAAACGTGTGGTTTGGGGACCTCGTCATCCCGTGCAAAGCCGTCCATTGTCTATTGTGGAAGCTGTGGGCTTTGGGTCCAAGATTTCGCTGTTTAGTCAATCTAAAACCAATCAATCACTACGTTTGGATACTTCAGGGGTGTAGGGCGCCCGCGCCACCCCTTCATCTTAGGTTCTGGCATGTTCTGGTTTTGCAGCCCTTGACTGATGCCTCTGTTGGATTTGCAGCATATCCGGGAATTAGTCGCCGCTTCCAGGATGTACTGCTTCCGGAACGATTAAACGCTGATATGCTTTTCATGAGTTCGGCTTGGTTACTCATCATTTCCTATCATTTTAGTGGGCTTTTTGGGAAATTCCGGGGCTTGCGATCGGGTGCACACAATTTCTTTCCCAGCATCGATTTTGGGTTTTAGGTGCCCGCCGTCGATCACAACACGGTGGCCTATCGCTTCTTGCGCATCAGCGATTCGGTATGTTGACTTTCGCATGCGTAATGTTGCAAGGTGCCAACAAATGCGGATAAGAATCCAGTAGACATTCCACAAACAGGAATCGACCGTGTTCCTTCGCTTTCTATCAAGTCAGAGAGGCACTCATACAGCAGGTACGAAGATTTCAACAAGCATGAAGCTGACCGGCCCTACATTTTGTTTGCTGTTGCAATACTATGCATCACTGTAATGTGTTCAGGGATGCTGGATTGATCCAGTCTTAGCTCCAGGCCGTCGACCATTCGCGACTGACGCAAGCAGGAATCATTCAGGCTGAGTTGCGTGACGTTTGGATTGTGCAGCATCGAAACTGCGCGGCCGAAGGGAATCATCTCCCAGATGTCACACAGTCGAGATGTGTGTCTGCCTCAGAGCCTCAGAGCCTCGGCTGCCGGTATGTGCAATGGTCAAAGCTGGAGGCCGGTTTGTCCAGCGGAAGATGTCGATTCCGAATTCAAAGAGGCTCTGTAGTAAATCGGAGGAGTTCTTGGTGTCACTTTCCGCCTGCCTGACAGGTCATGTCGCTCGATCTAATTCTCGAGCCTTCTGCTCCCCTCAAGGCTGTTTGAGCTTGCCTGCTGGAGAGCAGTTGCAAAGTTCCGGCTTTTCCCATTGCTGGAACTTTTTCGACTACCAAGTTGGATGAAGGATCCCACGTTTGGTTGGTGGTGCCGCGACGGGATGATCGCCAATATAGAGAAGGCCGTCGATCAGCTCGAGCATCTTGTCATTCACTCACCGCAGACAAGGTGGCTGCAGAGTTCTGCAAATGGCGAAACCTGCGGCCAATCAAGATGGTCCCGAGTCAGAGCAAACATCAGAAGCAATCATTTTTGAACAGTTCTCGCTCTTTCGATCCCAGGTCGTTGTTGGCCCACCTGGATGCGGGGCTGAACGCCTTTGCGACCGGACCTCAGCGCGCCTTTGGTTAATTCCAGGATGTCTTTGCCGAAGGAGGATCGTTTGTGAAGAGTGAGACACTGACACGCTGACACAGCGCAGCTGATGACAGGCCCGCGTTGCCAAGCACTACTTGCACGAGGAAGGGCACATGAGCATGCTGGGACACAAGACCAGTCAACGGACCTGTGGCTCAGGTGTAAGATGATGAAGCTTTCAGGCTTTCAGTTGCAGAGCCTGGATTCGCATCCTGTTGTGAGGAGCCGCCGCATCTCACCTACCAGCAGATCATTGACGACGCATGCGCGGCACCAACCAAAGCAGCCCGCAAGCTTCGGAGAAAGGCCGGTGTCCGCATTTGGGAAGGTGAGATTTGGCCCTGTGTGGTTTCGCTGATGAGGTGCAGAAGCTCGCAGCCGATCCAAGCAAGAAGCTTCCACTGCAGATTAGGCAGATTCCGCACCTTGCGTCGTGGAGTTCGGCATGAGTTCCCCTAGTTCTGCCATCGCAGAACATAGCAAGGTGAAGAGTGGCAATCAAGAATGGGATGATGTACATTTCTTTGGAAGGGTAGAAGGGTATCCGGAAACATCCAGTGCGGGAAACCCCTTCTACTTTTCTCTGAGACATTTCGGCCTCCTGTGCATGATTGCAGTCTGTACATTTCTTTCAACTAAATGCAGATTGCAGGACGAAGTTGGTGCAAAGCCGCCTCCTGTCGAACGTGTGTTCGGTCCCTTGAGAGCATCTGAAGAAGTTGTCCTCTCCATCAAACCACAGGTCGATACCGCGGCTATGTTCTCGAAGGCTATCCAACGACATATGCTGAAGCTGAGGCGCAGTGAGTGCTTCGAGAGATGCCCCACGTGATCCAAATCTGTGGCACAGGAGTTGCTTGCACACATCGTGGAGCTGAGGCGCTCTTTCTGGAGCAAGTCAAGGAGGGCGAAGACGAGGAGGAAGAGGCAGTGGAGGTGGGTTGCGCATGTGTCGCAAGTCAGCCACTCACTGCGAGAATATCAGGATGCCCATCGTGTCATCGAGCTATCTCGGATAGGTTGTCAACGCAGAAAATTTCCATGTTTGGTTTGGACACTTCCTTGAGTTTGCCACAGGCTTCTTGTAGTTCACTGTAGTTCACAGGTTCTACAGAAGGGAGAGATGTTCGTGCTGCATACATCCAAACACCCACCTGCCGCATGCCAATCCCATGCACGCCCCACACCCGCTTGAGCATGTGGCCGAGACTTCAATCTCATCAGGAGCTCGCCCGCCCTCCCTTACCCGCATCGCTCGCTCACGGATCCAGGATGGCTTGGGTAGCATCATCGCGTTTTCCCCTTCATCTCATTTCGTGCTGCATCATTCCTGGTGCCTGATGTAGCAGGGCTCACCCCTTACGGATCATTTTATTTATTTTGTGTGCCATTCATTGTGTGCCATACGTGGTGCCAAACATCTACATCTCATCATCATCATGATCATCACCATGAGCAGCATGATCAACAACAAATTCATTGGCAGTCTCCGAGTGAGTGAGTGTGTGTGTATGCGCATGTGTGTGTGTGCGCACCTGCGTGCGTGTGTGTCTCTGTGTGTGTGTGTGCTGGTAGACGTTGATGCAGCTTCATTTTTTTGCAGTTGACCAATTGTCAAATCGGCTTGCGGCATGCTGCTTTCAGAGAGGCTTCTTCGTCTGCTGCAAGATCGATGATTGATTTTTGCTAGAGCGAGTCATCGTACGATGAGCGGACATGTACGCCTGTATGCAGGAAGCCGATGATGGCGATGAGGATGTGGAGGAAGAAGAGGAAGAAGAGGCCAGACTGACTGCCGGTGAAGTCAAGGCTTGTTGCAGTAGACGAGTTGTAAAATGCAGGTTGTTCAGGCCACGGTATCCTTGCTTGGTTTGAACACCGCTTGTTGACCGAGGGTCACTATGCCTGTCTCGGTGTTCAGGGTTGAGTCGCCGTTGGTCTGGTTTGCGATGTTTGTGGACTGGACGTAAAACTGAAGAAAAGCATCTCCATCAACAGACGCAGGTGTTGCGGTAATAGTACTATGACACTCGTTTTGCCCCAGAGAAATGACGAGTGCGTTTTTGGTGCTGGCTTCCACCCTGGCGATGCAAGGAACTGTTCCCATGAGTGGTTTCCTACCCGTGCTCAGTACTCAAGGATGAGTACATATCGTGGTGATGACATTTCTAAAGTTCTTCGACAAGGAGATTTGAGCAGAGGATAGTGCAGCCGGCTGGATGTGTCTCTAACACACGCAGACACATCGGAGTTCTTGCTTGAAGCAGTCTTTTGTTTGGCATCTGGTCTACTTTTTAGGGCCCTTCTCTGCAGCTGGTTTTTGCACCTTCACAAGTTTTCTGCTACCCTGATAGCAGTCGCTGCTGGCCCCTCAAGGGCGCATCGACGTACTTGATGATGATGTTTTGTTGGATTTGTTCGTGAACAGATGTTGAAGGAAACTGCAGAGTCTGCGCCCAAAGAGGAGGACGAGGACGAAGAAGCTGAGAGGCATCCTGTTTCGCAGACGACTGTGTCAGCAAGCATTCCGTGACTCCTGATTGATAGCTACAGTAGAATTTCCCTTGCAGAGTTGTGTGCATGGCAGCCTCCTCAAAGAAATCACGAGGCCCAAATTCAAAATCGCAGAAGGTGTGGTTCCAACCTTAAGCGCTGCAGTCTCGTTGGTTTGCATGCATCTCCGGTGAGCTGTCGAGGTGCCGGAATATGGCGTTCTGATACGATCCTCAGAGCTACGATGCAAAGTAACCCTCTCAGAAGAAATTGCTTCCTTTCTCGTCGCCTCCACCGTGTGTAGAAGGAAAGAAAGGCTGCACATCTTTGGGTCGAGGCAAGGATATTCGACGGTGATGCCAAAGGCCCAGCTTCCGAGGAGGATGGTGCAATGGGTTGAGACATCTCTTGCGTCGGGGTTGAGCGTTGATCATTTCAATGCAGGATTTCAGCCGGGAAACGGCAGAATATCGCACTGCGAACCTTGCAGAGGATTTGGTGTTCGATGTTCCTGGCTGCAGCGGTGTAGAGACTGCACAGTGGTGATGCAACAGGACGGAACTCCAAGTACTGCAGAGTTCTTTCTGGAGCAATGTGGACTGTCAGTTGGTAACTTGGACCACGGTGAGTTGATCTTGAGAAGCTTCGGGAAGAAAGCGTCGTACAAGCACCTGTGATCTCTGAGATGTTGCCCATTGATGTGGACAACTGCAGTGAGGAAGAGGCTTTCCAGGTTGGACGGATTCATCCACGCCTTGTTTTTGACATGAGTGTTCGTCTTGTCGAGGCCGTTCGAATTCACATGGAGTCCAAGGGTCAGTTTTTCAACTACCTGAGGCCGTACTGAGACAGGTCAGCTAATGTTTTCCGATTCAGACTCAGCTTGTTAGGTCCGAGGAGGATCTCCTGCGCGAAGAGCAGGAAAAACAGGCAAGGCTGGAGAAGGAAAAAGACGAGCAAAAGGCACGGGAAAAGCAGGACCTTTCTGCATGCTCCCATCTCAAAGTAGCACAGCCAACGCCGTGAAGACAAGCTTGAATCGATGGTGCGAGTTCGTGTATAATTGGAGGAGCTGGTGCAGAAGGAGGCTGCACTGCGCGAACAACGCGCTGATGAAGAAGAGTCGCGGCACAGGGTAAGCCTGCACAGTCCACGCATGCTGTTCTGGTTTCAAAACTTGCCTGATCCGACTGGGCATCGTCTGAGCCACTGGCGAGCTGTCGAGCAACGCATGCATCTCGATGTGCGAGGTCATCGCGCGCAACGAGGCTGCACACTTGGAGGCGGAGGCACGGATGTCTTGATTTCACTGGTTGCCTTTGACAACGCGTTGCTGCGCTGGGCTGCGAGACAAAACGCTGCAAATCCCGCTGATTCCGAAGGTTTCTGGCTCAAAGCGAAGAGCATCGATTTTACTGCTTGCCTTGCACGAGGTGCACAAGAACTTGATTAGACATGGCAAACAGAGTAACATAAGTTCAGCACCAACGATCGTTGGACCTGGCAGCTGTAGGACTCGTACCTCTAGCCTTGCTTCCTTGCAGATCCCGCGGCAGGCGGTGAATGGCACCGCACCTGACTGCTAAACCTAAGCAGCCAAAGCAGACGTGCCCGCGAAGCTTCAATGTCAACGAGGAGCAAGTCGGAGTGTCGCAGAGCGACGACAGCTGCTGCAGCATCTGCAGCCATTGGACCCAACTACACATTCTCGATTGCTAGCGTGGGGTTTGTACACTTCCTTGAACCAGGTTGGCCGGGCTGGCATTGTAGTGGGTTGTCAGTCCTGGCCCAGACTTGATCTTGGCCTGTGCAGCGACAACCGCTTGACTTCGGACCCGTGCTAAACGAGAACCTCAGCATTTCCTCGTGAAGCATCTCTTGCACCACTTCCCATAAGGATGCAAGGTCGAACATCTAACAAGTTCGTGTTGTCACATCTCCATCTGTGCCGTCTTGAGGTCCAGAGGTCGAGAGGCTTCTTTTGAAGTCTTTGTCTGTAACACTCTGCTTTGGTTTCGCGATGGGGTCGGCAAGACACCAAGGTTTTCATGCGGAGATAGTGGCCATTGATGCAGAGGACAAAATTGCATGCCAAGCTAAGAATTTCGACAACATTGAGAGCCAGAAGCAGATGCTGCTCATGCTGCAGGCGAGTGCTGCTCTTCAGACCTTCTGCAATTCACTTATTCACTCCGATGTTTCTGCACTTCTTCTGGAAGTGTGTGAGTGGGATGCGCACAGTTTCACCCAGTGGTCAATGTATCAGAGAGCGACAGAATCACTCTTGGACTTACTGGCCATGCCTGCAGTGTGTGCTCTTGCAGACGCCTACGGACGGCGCCCTTTGCTTCTGCTCACCGGACCTTTTGAACTCTGTGGCTGGTCTCTGCTTGGGGCGCTGGTACCTCGAACTCTCACTGCCAAGCCTCTCATCGCTTTCATGAAGGCTTTCTCATCGGTCACGAACACGGCATTTCTCACCGTCAGCAGCTCCGCTCAGTTTGATTTGCTACAAAACCAACCAAAGGACTTGGCGGATGCACTTGCTGCAGGCCAGTCGTACGTTGGCCTTGCTGTCGTTGGAGCTCCGTTACTGTCGATACTGCTTCGGAGGAGCATGGGAGCACATGCACCCTTCTGGGTGGCTGGTGGCCTGAGCAGTCTTGTCCTTGGCGCCATGCTCACTGTACCAGAGACCCTGCAAGCTTCTGGGCGCAGAGCCATCGAGCTTCGCAAGTTGAATCCGCTTGGATCGGCAACGCTCCTGTTTCGGCAGGGCTCCAATCTGGCCCGGCTGGCCATGATGTATTCGATCCAATCTGTGACTCGGTGTGTGGATGCTTACTTGCACACCTTCATGGAGCTACGACTTGGCTGGGGGCACACCCAGATGTCCAAGCTTCTTAGCTTTTGGGGCTTTTGTGTTTTTGTCGGTAGTAGTCTGCTTCGAAAGGCTTTGAAGCGTTTTTCGGCTCGAAACATTGTGCTTGCTGGCACTCTCTTCAGTGCAGCCGACCTTGCCCTTCGAGGGCTGACGCATCGTTGGTGGCACTTGCCAGCAGCTCTCGTCCTGGGGCTTCCGGGAATTTCTGTCGAGTCTGCCATGAGAGCAATGCTAACCTCTGCCGTACGAGACCAGTGCCCGGCACTGGGTGGGGCTGCGACCCAGGCAGCGCTCAAGATGCAGCAAACACTGACATGTGCCGTCATAGGCTCTCCACTGATCGGCCAAGCATTCGCCTGGTGGCTGCGTCGGCCGAGCAAAGTCAGCAGCGGCTTTGGCTTTGTCGCAACACATTATGTGATGGCAAGCCTTTGCAGTCTTCTGGCCCATGTCTTGCTCCAGTCTTATGTGCCTGCATGAGTTTTGTTGGCAACGTCCTCTGAAATTGATGTGTTGAGAGCAATGCTCACAGCGATTACGTCGCAGAGGTTGCACAGTCAATGGTCATTTAGACCACTGTACAGATTAACGCTGTGTTCGTTGCAAGACTATATCAGTGCAGGGGCATCATTGCAAAAGAACTCCTGCATCTACGTATGGAGTTTCACGACGCTTATACAGTGCTGCAACCTGAAGAGACGTTGTCGTGAGGCACAGCCCCTCCGGCAATATCTGATGCCATTCCGGCATGGTTCGATGGACTTACCGGGTGAAAGCCTAAATGCGCTGGGACTGCCAGGGCGCACGTCGTTCCAACTCTTACAGCTGGCCTTACCGAGGCGGGTGTTCCAGCTTTGCCTAGAGCAAGCTGGCTTACAGCACTGTTGTTCAAACGGAGTGAACACAAGGACGAAGTGATATGGACTTCGGAGCAACGGGGTACTGTGCTGGATCGACCCTTCGGATGTAATCTATTCGTGGCGGTTTAAGAGTGCGAGTTCCTTTCCTGTGTGCCAGCTCGCAGCAAGCAGTTTCTGAAAGGGATGTGGGGTACCCATTTTGTGTATCGGCCTTCTTGGCGCTCCGCCTTCAGCTCCAGTTTCTGAATCGGAGTATGCGCAGCCGTTGCTTCGGTCGTGTCAGGTTTGCAAGGAACAGCCGGAAGACCCAATTGAGTTTCTGGCACAGTACTTGCTCCTTGGTCTATATTCGGTCTTCGTGAGACATCGCAAGCAGCTCGGGATCTAAAGCATGTGTCGATTGGCTGAGGTTTGCTCACTCGCAGGACCGCATTGGCTGCCTTCTCTTTTAATGCACCAGGGCATTTGGAAGCAAAAAAATTGTGTTGAGTCGACATGCAGGAGGTGCAGTCGATTGAGAGCTGAATGAAGCCGACGGCATATGCTTTGCCGTAATTCCAAAGGCTGCGCAAAACGCACGGCTTTGTTTCACAACTAGCCATCGGGTGAGTCTCCATCGGCAACTGCTAGAGCCGCTAGGGCAACCGTAAAGAAGTGAGAAGCTATTGAATGGGCACATCTGTTTCTTAGTTGACGAAGTGGCTTGGTTTCACAAGTCATGGATTCTCAGGTGTTGGTTGAATGCCAGACTCCTGAGGTGTAGCATGTTACAAAAAACAACATCCCACGTGCCGGAATCCAAGTACATGCTGGAGAAGCGCCTGCAAGCTGGCTTTCGTTCTTGTTGTTCGACAGGCTCAACATCTAGAATTAAATTGCAGCGGCATGTCCTCAGCAGATGCATGCAAAGGACGTGTTGCGAAACAAGGCCCGGAAAGTCTTCAGACTTCTTGCTCATAGTGGTGTTGGTGTCCCATTGGCGGTGTGAGAGGCGAAGCCTTCCCAAAATGGGGCCACTACGCAGTCGGCGAGGTCTGCGAAGGCGATACTTGCTTGTGCTTGTGTTGCTTGTCATTGAAGCAGTGAGCTTGTTGACATGCGCTTTCAGGAGCTTGGGCTTACCATGGCGGCTCATGGCTATCAGAAAGCCTGGCAGGAGAGCTTAGGTTTGTTGGTTCAGGCATCCAGAACCAGCATCCAGCTCAACATTATCTTGCTCAACTCTGTGATTTCCGCCTGCCAGCGGGCCGCGAGGTGGCAGGCAGCACTCAGTTTAGCAGTTCATGCCTGCGAGTGGTCACTTCAAGCCGACATCGTGTCCTACAACTCGGCAGCAACGGCTTGTGCGGCTTGTGCTAGCGAGGTTCCTGCAGTGTCCTGGCAACTGGCCTTGGCCACTTTGATGTCTGCTGAGTGCAGCCTTCTGCAACCGGATGCACGAAGCTTTACAGCCATCATGCAGGGATGCATTCGCCTTGGGGACTGGCCGGCATGCCTTGAATTCCTTCGATCTATGAAAAGCAGGAATCTAGATGTCGATGCTTTTGCATGTGGAGCTGCCGTCTCAGCATGTGACAAGGCAGGGCAGTGGAAATGGGCTTTGTATCTCTTGCAGTATGGGATTAGTGCCGGGACTGGCAAGGCGGGTAATTGGCAAGTGCCTGTCGCAACTGCAATGACAACCTGCGGCCGTGCCAGCAAGTGGGAGTGTAGCTTGCAACTGTTGCAAGATATGGAGACCTCTTGCACACCGAATGTGGTAGTGTTCAGTGCTGCCATCAGTTCGGCAGAGCGAGGATCATTGTGGCAAGTGGCATTAGACATCATGATCAGGATGGGTGCATCGCGGATTCTGCCAAATGTTATCGTTTACTCGACTTTTCTTGGTGGTCTGGAAAGATCGGGAAATTGGGAGATGGTGTTTGACATGCTTGCAGACATGTTCCATGCCGCTCTGGCACCGACATCTGTCACATTCGATGTGCTTTTGCGGACTTGCCGGCATGCGCTGGGGTGGCAGTATGCTTGTCACATTCTGTACTCAATGATGCCAGCCTCCAAGGTCACTCCAACCTCGAAATCAATCAATGCTTGTTTGGGTGTTTTGGAAGCTGAGCTTCAGTGGCCGCTGTCCATCCACATGCTGAATGCAAGTGCCATGTGCGATATTGCAAGCTACAGCATTGCTGCCAGTACCTGTGAGAAGAGCAGTGCCTGGCATGCTGCGGTAGCGGTTTGCGCACGAGCAGAGAGCCTGCGTCTCAAACCTGACGAGGTCTCCTTGGGAGTTCTTATTTCAGCATGGGAGAAGGGCCGTGCCTGGCAAATGGCCATCTCGACCTTGATGATGATTGTTGAGCAAGCGGTGGAACCTAGTGAGATTTCATTTGCCGCGGCGTTGCGTGCATGCCAATCCTGTGGAAGCTGGGAAGCGGCGTTAAGCCTTCTTCGCATCGTGCCGAATTCAGTTCGGAGCGAAAGTGGACTTCTCAACCCCGTCCTGGGAGCATGTGCTTCAAGCCATGAGTGGGAAAGGGCCCTATCCTTGTTTTCAGCAGCAGGCGTAGCTTGCGCCCTGCAAGCTGACGTGGTGACACTCACAACGGTCATGTCGGCTTGTGAAGCGGGCTTGAAGTGGCAAGAAGCGGTCGCCGTCCTGTTCGAGGCCGTAGGAGAGTCCCTGCTGCCAGACCCCGACCCCACCGCCTTCAACGTGGCCATCTCCAGCTGTTCCAAAGTCCAGAACTGGCGGGCGGCTCTGGCTGTGCTCAGATCCGAATCGCATTCCGAGCGCTCTTCGGGGCGTTTTCCGGATGTAATTTCTTACAACGCCGTCCTCGGCTCTTGCAAGCAAACGGAGAGTTGGCGACAGGCAATCGCCTTGTTGCATGACATGTCACAGCGAAGCCTCGTGCCCGATCTTACGACCTTTCACGGCGTGCTTGAAGCTTGTGCTTGTGGCCAAGCCTGGGAGCTGTCGCTTCAGGTCCTTCACCAGCTGACGGCCTTGAGACTTCCCACCGGAATTGCCACGAACTTGGCCGCATCCGCCTGCCAGCAAGCCACAGAGCTCAACAGAGCAGGAGTTCTGCTGCAGTCTGTCCTCGATGCCGCCTTTGCAGGGTGTTCGGATCCTGTCACTTTGAAGGCAGCACTGGACGTAACCGAGGCTGGCTACTCTGGAATTCAGGTCATGCCGTGCCTGGAAGAGTTGACTAGATGGGCCAGGGATCAACTTGCATCCGTCGTCCAGCAGCAGCTGCGGCAACTCATGAGGCAATCTTCTTCAGATATGCAAGACTCAGGCCAAGCCGTGGTGGCATCAGAAATTCTGCAGTGGCATGGTCATGTTCCTGAGCAGTTTTGGGCCGAGTTTGTCCACGTTGTTGGAAAGCCAGCCGAACGCCAGTTGAGGTTGTTGTGTAACCCAGAGCTGCAGCGAGACGGGAACCAGGCTAGATTGCACGCTCCCACCCTTGAGCGGCAATTTGGCTTGAGCCCGCTCTTTTCCCAAGAAGTTTTGCATTGCCTCGGCATGCGTGACCCGGAATCAATTGAGACATGGCTCGGGTATCCACGGGCCATCGCAAGGAGATGCTCGCAACACGTGTCGACAGCAGCTGATCCAACATCAAAGCACTTGGCTGCATGGGCTTCGTGGACGTTTTTTCATGAATTTCCGATAGCATGCCGTTCTCGTTGTCACGGACATGCGGTCTCGGACGAGGCGGCGCAGATGCTACGCCCTGTCCAGGTTCAACATGATCGCAGACCTCACTCAGAACGACAGCTGCTGGAAGCTTTAGCAGTAACTTTACGACATCGTTGCTTCAAAAGACCGTGTTGGATCGAGGACTGACAGAAATCATGCGATGTTCATGGATGCAGCCTCACATCATGTTCTCTTTCGGATCAAACCTTTCAACTGGCTAGCTGTGGAATTCAATGTTGTAAGAGACGTGTGCCTGGAGCCGTGCACCGGACATGGTAGTGCCTCGCTCAGCCAGTCGAAGAGCACACACTTGCATTGAACAAAGCGATCCTGCAGAAACTCCTCGAAACCTCCGGAAACATGTCTTGGAATTCTTCAGATTTTGGGTTGAGGCCGGCGATACAAGTGACCTCAGCTTGTCCAACAAGGCATGTTCAAGGCGTAGAAGAGAAACTGCTTTGCTTTTTTGCTCGAGCAGGTGGTTTTCCGTGGCGTCCCTGACAACTGCAGTGCTGAGGACAACGGGGGAAGTCTGTGGATTATACCATCATGTCGCTGTTGTGGGGTGATTCTTCAAACATGCTTGCACTTATGGCTTCTGAGATTCTGCCGTCATCATGTGTGCCAGCAACAGAGTGGTTGTGGTGCTGCTGGTGGTTGTGATGGTCGTATGGTTGTGGTGATGGTGATGGTGGAGATGTGCTACATTTTGCTACATTGCCACGTCTGTGCCTATAGAAGAAACAGAACTTTTAGCGCACGATGACGGCTTAGCTGTTTTTTGGGTATGAGCCCGGTATGAGACACCGTCTAACCGCAAGCAAGATCAAGTGAAGAGGCTACCGAATACAGCACACGGTAGTGCAGTAGGTGGCATGAAAGAAGATCCACAAGGATTAAGTCATTAGTTAATCCGAGAGGAGATTAACCAATCATGACGACAAGTCAAACCCAAACCAGGAATGTAAAAAAGGTGCCCGTCAAACGTATGATCCGCAGGTGCCAAACGACATGAGACCGAAATAATCACGACACGACAAAATTCAGCACGCTAACACTGCGTGCCCGAAGTAAAACGGGCTGTGTCACAAATAAGGATTAGTACTCTGGCATGTGCAGAAATTGCACAACATCAATAATTTCTTCTGAGCTTCAAGCCGAAACGGAGTTGCGGCACATGTTGATGCCCTCGAGCCGTGCGGTGCCCGTGTCCCCTACCTTAATGGTGCCTGCCTTGCTGAATTCGTTGCCCCGGATCCTTCTACGGTTTGGTGGCTTTTTTGCTTCATGTCTCCGATCATGGCACGCGTAGAACGCCAAAGTGCGACACCTGGCCTTCTCTGATGCCTTAGCCCGAGGTTTTCCACCGGCCGGTCTTGGCGCTAAGGTTGAGGCTCAGAATGACGTGTCGGGACCGTCGGGCGTGGCCTCTGTCAGCCTCTGGAGGGAGTATGGTCACTCTGGGCGGCTCGCTGATGACTGTTGGGAAGCCTGCCAGCCAGAGCAGGGTTTTCGACATTTTTTGTCTGGGGCCAACCCATTCCGTGGCGAGACCAATCGTTGCCAGTCGGATCAAGCCGCCGGGGCCACCGCGCTTTCACCCTCAGCACTTCACGGCGGGGCCATGACAGGCCCGCCTACTGAATTCATTGAGCCACGGCTGTGTAGGATTTGTGTCCGCTCGGCGTCCGGCCGTCAGTGGTTCGGTGCGGGTTTTTTGTGTGGTGAAGAAAAAGGTCAAGGACCGCCTCATCTTTGATGCACGGCCGGCCAATGCCTTGGAGATCGGGTCGTCGTGCTGGACGCGTTGCCTAGCATCGGCTGTGGCTGAGCTCCGTCGTCAGACAGCCCTATCGGGCTTTGCTTGTCCTGGCCTGATCTCAGCGAGAGTTTTTACCAGATTGTGTCGCTTCATGTCGCTTCCGGAGCGCATGGCACGGAACTCTGTGGTGGTTGATGCCGACCAAATTGGTTTTGTGTTTCGCAAGGACAGGCGTGAGCACTGTGACCATCGCGGGTGCATCTTTGTGCCTAGTCTGCTTGGATCAGGTGTTGACGCAGGCCTTTGAAAGCATCCAGCAGGGCAGCCCAAAACAGCCGCGGCTGATCGACTCCGCGCATCTCTGGAGGCTTCCTTCCAGCTCCGCTCCTGTTGAGGTTGCAGACGATATCCCAGCGAACCAGCTGTTGCCAAGCACACTGATTGGGCTCTAGCAATGTTCAAGTTGTGTGCAGCTGGTGAACGGATGCCACGAGTGCATCCGTGCATGCTTAGGCATGTTTTTGCGCACTTCTTCCAAATATAGCTCGAAACCTTGATCCGGCGTAGGAAAGTAGGGACTTGGGCCAGGCCGCGGACTAAAATTCTGCCGGTTGCATCGCGTGGCCAACAGCTGATCCATCACGATTTCTCATGGTTACGCTTCCATTTAGAATTTCATATCCCGAGCCCCCTCGGCTTCAAATCCCGTCCCAGAATTGGGGAATCATATTTGAAGCCGAGTTGAAGCCGGCCTCAAACGGGTTTCAAACCCCGTCCAGGTATTGGGAATCGTATTTGAAGTCTTATTGGAGCCGGCCTCAAACCGGCATTGTACCAGGTCCAGAGCGCTCGTCCAAAGCATGCCCACCATGAGGATTTTGTGCCCAGAGCCTTCCACCCTGCCATCTCCCACAGGGTGTGATCAGTTGTCATAACCGATTTCGTTATGTGTGTCCTGATGCATACGAAGCAGCACAGCATGCTGCAAAGTGAACGAGGACAGCGGCATGTTCGGGGGCGCACACCGCGAATAACCGAAGCAAGCAGCTGAGCCGCAAAAGGGAAGGCATCCGTCGTGAGCTTTGTCGTGCTGGTTGTGATGGTGGTGGTGGCACTGGTGGTCGTCGTGGTGGACCTCTCGGCATCATCATCATCATGATCACCCTCATGATCACCATCATCATCGTCATCGTCTACTGTTGAAGGGCCCTGAGGGCGGGAAGTGTTGCTGAAGCAAACTGAATTCTTCTTGCGCTGTTGCCTAGAGCTGGGGCCAATAGTGCGAGTCCATGCTGACGCCAGCGGCTTAGAACCACTGCCCTATGCACGGGAACCCTCGTCGCGGCGAATGAAATATGCAATCAAGTTTGAATGCTGGACTGCTAGAAGAGCCGAAGGAAAGTTTCATTTTACGCCCGTAGCGAACGGAGACAGAGGCTTTGAATTAAAGACCAATCCTCGACGTGTATCTTCCTTGTTACGGCAAGGGTTAAAGTTGTCCTCGTTGCTTGTGGCGGTGGCGGTTGGCAACCGCAGCAGCAGCCGTGGTCGTGGTTTTGCTGTCGCTGATGGTGGCCGCCGTGTGAGGTCGCGTGCTATGTTGTGCCTGCACTTGCCGCCCAGGACATCTCAAATCTTTTGCAAAAATATGGGTCTGCATCTCAAGCAACTTGAAAGGAAGACGACTGTTTCACTTCGGCCGCTGGTTTCTGCTGTGTATGCTGGCTGCTGAAAGCTAGGCCGCTCGAGTGCATCTGCTACGAGAAAGGCCGAGCCAGTGCGACCAAATCCGTTTGTTTTGTGGCAGAGCAAGTGACCCAAGGAGCTGGCAGCGGCATTGCAGAATACCTCTTCTGCGGTTCTGCTGAACGTGTAGAAAAGGAGTCCAACAGGCCACACACCATCTGAGTCTGACCGTGGGTGGTCCCCGACGTTCCTGCAAGGCCGGACTCTCCACTTCAGTTGGCAGGCCTTGCGGTGCTCGTTGCTATTATATCCATGGGTCACAGCAAGAGGTTGTGGTTTGGTGCTGCACTACGCTGCTCGACTTGCGCTGCAATTTGCATTCCAATTTCTCCACAGATCATGTCCTTGCATAAATGGCACGGACCTTGTTCTACCGTGTTGCAAAAACACCCTGCGACGACCAAGATCTAGAACCACTTCGGTTCATGGGCGCGGTTGGTGTGTGCTCATTTGGGGTGGGTCAGGCGAAGGCTGAAGGGCCAAAGACGTGGAAAAGGAGCCAACTGCTTAAGTCTGCTTGCGCGAGAGGGCGGCGCAGGTGGGCAAGACCGCACGACACGCGGAGGAGGTCCAGACTTCAAACTGAGACGAACAGCTAGAGCGTGTCATAAGACGATTGGCAGCAACCGTTACCCACCCTTTTCAACCTTCTCCGATGTCATGCTCGAACCATGCGCCACATCTCGCAATCATCTCGTGGACGATGGGTATCGCAAAGGCAACCGTGTCCATGTTCTGCGGGGCGCTCCGCGGTGGCCAGGAAGTACAGACACAGGCCGACTCTTCGTGTTAAGATCGTGTCAGCAATTGAAGCATGTGATGTCAAGGTGCTTTTCAACAAGTTCTCGTGACACCTACGCCGAAGACAGAGTCCCTGGACCGTCCAGAAGTCCGTGTTCCACGAAGCGACACTGCTCAGTGCTGGCAATCTGCCAATGTGCAGGACGTGGTCGTCTTCCGAGGACAAAGCTCGGCCTCGGGCATTGGCCTAGTGGCAGAGATGGTGCCGAGACTTGAGCAAGCTGCGATTTTCCACTTGCCGACCGAACATCTTGAAATTCCGTGCCTAGGCAAAGACGAAGACGACTTCATTGGTTATTTGGGATCGGCATCACAGGCCCAGAGAAGAGCCCAAGGCGTGCTGGCAGCAGCAAGTCAGCTGCCCTGCTGCTGTCTAGCTGCATTTTAACTACCGAACTACGCTACCGAGGATTCTAATTTCTTTCACTCATGTCGCTGATGACAAGCATGTTGTGTTATGGACTTCGGCTGGAATTGAGAGTCGGGTGACTGAAGTCCCCCGGCCCTGGCTTGGACAAATGCTTGGTCTTGACATGAAGCGACTCGGCGAGCATGCACTCGTTTCCGTGCAACAGGTGTCCACTCTGCAGAAGAAAATATACACGGAGGTATTTGCAGAGCAGGAGTCACACTCTGAGAATCAATTGACAACCCTTGCTGATGCGAATGCAGAAATGAGAATATGTGCAGCCAAGGCCAGACAAGGATGTCATGAAGAGAGCAGGCGACTTCTTCTCAGTGCGGATCTTGACTGTTCAAGACGCCATGCTGGCTTGTGTTGCGTGCGCCTGGCCGGGACTAAGACTGGTGCTCCAAAGTGCGCACTCGTGCCCCTTGACTCACTGGCAAATCGCCCTTCATTCTCCGTCACGGGCCATGGAGCTGATTGATTGTATGAACCAGGCACCTTGCCGAGGAGAAGTACAAGGTGGAGGCAGCAGTGGAGCGGCCTTTGTCGCAGGCACGCGCTTGTTTCTTGTTTGATGCTTGTTTTTGTCTTTGGTGTTGAGGTGAGACTTGGTGCTTTCTCTTCAGGTGAACGACCTTATGGATGCCTGCCGACACAACCATTTGGAGACCATAGCTGGCTTCAATGCCTTCAAAGTCTACAAGTTCTTGCCTCGGGCGACTGTGGGTGCTGCTTCGGCGTAATGTTTCCCTGAAAAAGTTTTTTTGACTCAAAATGCTGATGCAATTTCTACCTGCGCCGAGCAGCAGCAGGCCATGGCTTCATGCGAACCGAGCGTGTACTTTCGTCCTCATTCCGCCCAAGCTGTGTCGGGGCTCAGCTGAGGCACATGTTTGGAGTGTAGTTCGAAGCTGACAAGGCCACGAGTGGGATGATGACATCGCGACGTGCACAGTGGGGTGCCATCCCCACCATTCAGGATCGTTTCAATCATGTCGGATGAGTCCTTGAGAGGTCCAGGAGGATAGTTCGTGCTGACCCGGTGCGGCTGCGGCTTTCTTACAGTGTCAGCAGGAAGCTGAAGATGCTGAAGCTACCAGTCTTCAGTGGCTGAAGGCCAGACGGATCTGGCTGGACTATGGGACTTCAGATGGTCCACTCTTCTGCCAGCGTCAATGCTGCCTTGTGCTGAGATAGCATTTGTTACTTGTAGAGTCTTCCAATCTCATGGTTTCCAGATAAGGTTCTGGCCTCCACGACCATCCACGACTTGGTGACAGCAGACGATGCGACAAAGACCGATTGCGCAAATTCCTCTTGAACTGAGAGGTTAGACAGCCTCATACGGCATATCTTCGTAGTTGTGCATGTTTCCGGTGCAGTCAATACATGCTCTTGCAAGTCCTCTGAACATCAAGATATGGCTACAGTCAGCTTACAACCTTGAAGTGATTCTCTCACGGTTTCAAGCTCTTGGCATTAGCCGCGAGTGATGCTGTCCGGGGCCAAGGCGTGGGTGATACTTGCTAGTGTTTGGTGTTGTATTCTCAGCATCCACTTGAACCTGCAGACACCGTTGTTCGGATTTTAGGCCAGTTCATCCGGACCCATTTGACATCGGCTCTGCAACTGCCTCCACGCCCACCGCAGGAATCTTCTAGCGGGCCGATGCATAGAGTTGACAATGTGCTGATCTCAGACCTTTGGCATCGGCAATCCCATCATGGCGTTCCTGGTGCATCCTGGTGCTGAGGCCTGTCTTCACTTCTTGGGCGCAGCAGCGTGCGTGCCTTAGACACCAGTCCAAACACAATCAAACACAAAGTGACCAACACGTGCAATCACTGAGGCCAGTGAGGTCGTGGCAAGGTTTCACTTGTTTCCCTGCTTATCCCGTGAACTCTTTGATTTACAGCATCGTGTGTAACAGCAGTGTTTGTTATGTTATTCCTCATTTGATGCACAAGTCTTCGAACACAACATGTTTCCAGCGATCTTCCTCTAAAGGTGAGGCACAAAATAGCAGAGCTGAGTTGCTTGACATCACGACGTGTCGCAGAGGTACGACCTGCTAGTACTGGTCGTTGTTGTCGAAGCGACAATCCTCCAATCGTTCCTTTTGAGTTTCTGCCTCTCCGTGCTTGTAGCCTTTGAGTTTCCTCACAAGAGTATTCTTTACGCGATTTTACGCGCGTTCCGCGGCCCGCGGCCACGCGGCCACGTGGCCCGGCCCGCAGCCCGCGACCATGCGGCCACGCGGCCCGCGGCAGCAGCAGCAGCCAGCATCAGCAACAACAACAACAGCAACAACAACAGCAACAGCAACAGCAACAGCAACAGCAACAGCAATTTCAATTGAACGCTGCGCGAGCGTGCTCTGCGCATGGCGGGCGCTGGACTTAGCAGACACTCGGTGAAACCGAAGAAAGGACATGTCCGAAATTGCTACTCGCGAGTTACTCCTGAAAAGAATCACTGCAGTCACGGTCCAAGCACTCGAGCAACTGAAACCAGCAAGTGGGGCCATCACTGGTAAAGAAGGTGAAGCATGCACGGATGTACAACCTCCGACACCCTAAGTGTGTACTGTCGCGTCCGACGCACACGGACCAACGCCTGCTGAGTCGTACCTCGACGGATCGAGGCCGGGTCTCAAAGTGCCAGTCTAGCGGCGTCCCGCACTTGGTCACTTACAGACGAAGGCGATGGGCCGTAAGGAAAGAGGCAAGGTGCCAGCCCAGCGTACCTGAAAGTGTGCCATTGAAGGCAGGCTGCATGTGTCGAGCAATTAGCAGAAGGGTGCTGCCGTAAGCAATCACTTTTTGTGCCTGCGGATCGGACAAATGCATAAACAAGTGAGGGCGGCAGACGTCTCGTGACTTATCTGCAAAAAATGACGACAAAGCTGCTTAGGATGGCAGAGTGCTGAGATCGTGCCACGGACACACCAGCTTCTGCAGTAGTTGCTGTGTCGAGGGCTGCGCCCTACAGCTGGGAGCTGCGCTCTTTTGACAGTTTAGGAACGGGACCATGATGTCGGCCGGGACCAGGAGCTCGAGGATGGTTGGCCTCTGGAATAGCCTCGGTACCAAGAGCGGCCCGAGTCCTGCCAGTCACCCCAGTCTCCCCAGGTATCGTCATCCTGGACATCCCCAGCACTCCAGTGCTGCCAGGAGGAGTCGTCGGGTTCATCCTCATCCGCATCTTCTCCCTCATGGTCCGTCCATGCAGCAGTCCAAGATTGTCCGTGCTGTCGCGAATCTCTGGACCGTTTGCTGCCTTTGGCAACCCATTCGATGGCGCGCTTGTGTCTTTCAGAAAGACCCGTGCGAGGATCCTTATTGGCTTCAGCATCATGCACAATCCTCACCCCAAGCTCAGGATATTTTCTGCGAAGCATGCGAGAGGGGAGGCCGGCCTCGCTGCAGAAGTGGTTATATATAGCCATGAGGGTGGTGGAGATCATGTCGTAGAGCTTCCAGTTCTCGGACTTGGAGAGCTCTGCGATGGTGTAGTAGCATCGGAATTCTTCATGAGCCCACATTTTGGCGAACAAAGCTCCAACCAGGCCATGCATCTTGGTCGGGCCTTCGAGTTCTTCGTAGGTGTCGCCGTGGCCAACGGCCACTGTGACCTTGCCTTCCTTCGTGAGCACCTGACGAACTGTAAGGATCCGTTCCCACATCAGGCCTTTGTCAGTTTTGACCTTCGTGATGGCCTTGAACAAAGCAGGGACCATGGAAATGCCCCGCACCCGCTTGGGGGCGCGGGGGCGCGTGTCCAGCCCTGGGTCGTAGCCGACTGGAGTTCCTGCAGGATGCCCTCTTTCATCAAGGGGATGTCCTCATAGTCCGCAATCTGAGGAAGATATGACATTTGAGGAGCATACAACCGAGGGGGTGCACACTTGGGGGGAGGAGGCGGCGGGGTCTCAGGCGGAGTCTCATGCAATGAAGCGGAGGCTGTTTTGGGACTAGTTTTCGGGGTCGGCTTGGGGGATGGAGCTTCTGAGCTGCTTGCCTCGGTTGGGGGAGGGAGTGGTGGCGGCTGTGGGCAGCCGCTTGACACCGGGACCGGTGTTGGGGGGGCATAGCCGCCAGATGCAATTCAAAGCCGCTGCCGTGGCTGGCTTGGGAAAAGCTGAAAACGGCTTGGGGGGGGAAGGAGGCTCCGGTGGCTGGGATGCACATGGAAGGGGAGCCTTGGCCTTTGGTGGAGGAGGGGGGGAGGGGGCTGAACCGCAGCCGCGGCGTGAGAGCGGGCTGCAAGTCCGGCTCCGGCTGTAGAGGTGCAGGCAGCGCCTGGTGTTCTCGCGCATCGTGACGAGGTCGCGTCCTGAAGTGGTTTTTCAGGCCATTGCCTGTAGGAAACATCTTTTGCTGGGTAATCTGATTCTTGCTTTTGCAAAAAGAGCAGCAGAGGTATCCCGGATGATCAGAGGAAAGAGCCAGGCCCCGCGGAACCTGCGACATGAGCTAAGAAGGCACGCCTAAGACGTGGCAAGACTGAGGGCTAGCGGTCACACACTGACAGAGCTTGTTTTAAAGCTTCGCGCACGGATCGCATGTGTGTGTGTCCGGCTTGCAGCCTTTGAGTTTGGGCTGCGCCCTTGACCTATCGCAGCGCTGGAGGCAGCACAGGGTTCAGATGCGCAGCTGAGCCAGCCGGTAGCCGAAAGCCGGTTCTTTGCAGCGTTGCCCTCATCTCTGGAGAAGATCTGTCCCAGCCTTGCGCCGTGTAGGCTATCAACACAACCCGATCACAGACAGACCATGGCATTGTAGCATGGAAAAGCGAATGCGCCGGGAACTGGATGGCTTGCCCCTGCAGCGAGAAGACTGTGCCGCCGACAAGTTCCGCCCTGCTCTGAACATCCATGAAGTGAGAGCCTCCTGGTGCTTCTATCCAAACTTGGCCGCCATCGTTGTAGGTCAGCTGAAGGATCATGATGTCACCTGAGCTCGTAGAGTCGCGGTGCGGTGGCGAGCAGAGGTAGTACTGGATGCTGAGGGAGGTCCAAGTGAATTCGCCGTTGCATGACGAGACCAGATGGTTGAAGAGCAAGGCCGAGTTCGGGTACATGACTGTGTTGTGATACAGTCCAGGGACCGCCCGTACATAAGCGCCTAAGCGAAACACTTTGGCCTGCTGAACCCTCATGCCCCGTTGGCAGTTCCTCGTCACGTAGTTGTACGGCAGTTGGGATGCTATGTGCCTGGCAGAGTGCCACGCTGAGCAGTGGCCTTCTTCTAAGAAGTCAAAAGCTTGCCTTTCCTCCGCAGGAGCGCTATTGGGAATGCTTTGTGGCTCGGGTAGGCACGGATGGCTGTCCGGCCATCTTATCCGGATGCTGTCCAGGTGCTGCATGAGCTGCTGGCCGGCCGCTGTCGGAAGAGTGTCAAAGGCCCATCGGACAAGGTCATTGCGAGAGTAGATGCCCAGTCCTGGCGGCATGTTTGTCTCTGTTTCCTCGCACAGGCGTCTGACGTAGGACAGCGTGAGGAAGCCCTCCAAGTAGTCAAAGTGAAGAGCCGCCGGGTGCTCCAAAACGCGGACCACGATGCTAATGCGCCTACCTAGTGAATCCTGAAATGTTGCTGAGAGGCATGCACAGGCTGGAGTGTGCTATAACGTGCGCCCTGCGAGAGCAACGTTGTTGCTAGCACCGACCTGCTGGACACACAACCGCTTTTTGTCGTAAAGACTGTTGCAGAGTAAATGAGGAAAAACCGCTGCGGAAAAGTATGCAGGTGCTGCCAGGTTCAGGCTGGTAGGCATAGCAAGCGCGCGTCAAAAAGCTCAAGGGCTGCGCCCTGGCTGAGGATGGCTGCGCCATTCTTGTCAGAGCGTCAGTCCATGGAGTCCATGTTGACATCATCCTGCTCCGCCCATACTCCCGTCAGCGGGAAGATAGCAACTTGCGACAGCAGGCGTGGCGCTGCCTCTGCCTGTGTAGCCGGCTCCGTTGCGGTCGCTGCTGGCTCAGGAGGCGGTGGTGGAACCTCGATCTGCAGGTAGCCGTTCTGGTTGCTGTACTTCAAGAACGGGAAAACCTCGAAGAAGACCGGCCGAACTCGTGCCCCTCGAGTGCGCAAGCCGCATGCAAGGTAGAACTTGGCGTACACCGCTGATTGTTCCCAGCTGCCAGAGGTAGCTTGGCGGCCTGCGGCCTGCGAAGAGGAGCCTGCGGCCTGCTCGACCACGAAAGCGCCGTCTTGATTTCCGCGTCGGTCTTGTGGATGATAGAAAGTGGTCTCCGACCGACATACAGCTCCGTCGCAGGTCCAAAGACCGGCCTGGACAAGAACCTGCGCATTCTCAGCAGATTCAAGCCAGCTTCCACCTGGGAATGCGCTTTGTGGCCAATTCGGCAAGGGGTCCCTGCCGGATTCAATCCACTGCTCCAGCTCCGCCTTGAAGTGGCGGTGCATCTAATGTCCATAATTTCATGCCACAATGTCATGGCCAGCCTGTAATAGTCCCCTTTAGCCGTGCGAATTGGGAATGGCCCGGTCTCGTGCGGAGGGCGATGCAAGGTGCCTCCCTGTCCGATAGCGCCACATAGCCCAAGGAGAGCGGGTAGATGCTTTCGCCAGCCGTGCCCCCGAGACCGTGTCAAAAGCCTGACTTAAGTCTAAGGCGAAAGTGATGCCTCCCGCCAAGTCTGGAAGTGAAACACCCGCATG